GAAGGCTCGGAGCGAGGTGGATATACTGAGGGCCGAGGTTGAAGCCAAAGCCGAGCTGCTGAAGAGGGAGGATGAGAGGCATAAGGCCCACCTCCGAGCTGCCCATGCCATCACAAAAGGGTTGGAGAAGGAAAAATTCCAACTCCTTAAGGAGAAGGACGACATGCTCCAGGCCCTTGAACGGAAGGACGCTGCAATTGGGCGTCTTAATGCTGAGTTGAAGGCAGAGAAGGAGCGCCTTACCAACGGGGCTCTCCTTGAAGCAGCCTTCAGGCAACACCCAGATTTTGATGGGTTTGCCAAAGATTTTAGCGACGCCGGCTTCAAATTTTTGATGAAGGGGATTGCTGCTGATGTGCCACACCTCGAGGTCGACCTCGGCGATCTGAAGAAGAGGTACGCTGAGAAATGGGCTTCTGGGCCTAATGGCACCTCAGGTCCTGCATCCCTGGTGGACAAATATGTCAGAGATCTGGACTCTGACTACTCCGACCTGGATGAAGACGAGGTACCAAGTCAGGAACCTACTGAGGTCGGCACCACTCAAGAAGGAGTCCCTTCTCAGCAGGACGGATCTCAGGAGGTCAACCTTCTGGGGTCCCAGGGCGAGCTATCATCTCACCTCGGAAGTAGCTGAGGCTCTATTTTCTTCAATCTTTATATATATATATATATTTCTTTGGGCAGAGCTACAAGGTATATAAGCCTTGGCTCTGTCCTTTTAATCAATGAAACTCCCATTTCTGTCTGTTCTTTTTATGTTCTTCCCTTTAAGAATCCTTTTAAACTTGCTTGTATAAATAGGAACTTGTGAAGGAACAGATTCATCTCGCACTTCTAACCCATAACTTTTGTGTAAGTTTAAAGGCTTGTGAGATAACTCTTTTCACATCGCACCTCTTTCCTAAGGTTTGAATTTGAGAGTCCTTTATTAATATTTAACATTTCTCCTCGAACTCGGAAGTCCGAAAGATAAAATCAAGCAATTTGAACTTTTTTTACATCGCACCTTTAACTTGAGCGTTCCAAGGTTTGAATTTTAAGTTCATAATTAATACTCACATCGCACCTCGAACCTGTAGGCTTAGAGGATTGAATTTTTTGAACCTTCAACATCGCACCTTTAACTTAAGCGTTCAAAGGATTGAATTTTGGATCGTAATTCATTTTGACATCGCACCTCGAACCCGTGGGTTTTGAGGTTGCCGATTTTAAGTCTTGCGGGAGTCCGTGGCCTCCATTTAATTTCTAATCGAACTCGGAGTTATGAAATTAAATAACCCCATTTATTGAAAGTTTTGCCCCTTGAAAATTTTTAGAAGCCCATTTTGGGACTATTTTGACATTTCAGGGGTAATAGCGCTTCAAGTGCTCCGCGTTCCATGGATGCGCAAGCACTCTTCCTTCCAGGTCAGCCAGCATATACGTTCCAGATCGGACTATACCTTTGACTTCGAATGGTCCCTTCCAACTTGGGTCAAGGGTGCCGACATGACTCTGAATTTTCCTTAAGACAAAATGTCCAACTTGGAAGCTTCGAGGTCGAACTCGGGCATTGTAATGTCTGGTCATTCTGTTCTGATACTCTGCTAAGCGCAGTTGAGCCATTTCCCTTTTTCCTTCCAATAAGTCCAGGTTAAGGAGTAGCTCTTCCTCGTTCTTTGTTGGCTCGTACTGTTCTACCCTGTCTGTTGGTATGCCGATCTCGACTGGTACAACAGCTTCAGAACCAAAGGCTAGAGAGAACGGAGTTTCGCCAGTTGACTCCCTTGGGGTGGTTCGATATGACCACAGAACTTCAGGTAGCTCATCGGCCCATCTTCCCTTTCTGGAGTCCAACCTTAGCTTGAGTCCTCGCTTTATGATCTTGTTTACCGCTTCGACTTGTCCATTCGCTTTTGGATGTGCAGGGGACGAACTGAGGTGGCTTATGCCCAACTTTCTACAAAACTCCTTGAACTTTGCATTGTCAAACTGTTTTCCGTTGTCTGTCACGATAGCATTTGGTATGCCAAAGCGGCACACAATGTTTGTCCATACGAACGACGTGACTTTGGACTCTGTGATATGGGATAGTGCCTCGGCTTCGGCCCACTTAGTGAAGTAGTCCACAGCGACAACGGCGAACTTTGTTTGTCCTTTGCCCAGAGAAAAAGGACCTATGATGTCTACCCCCTATTGCGCAAATGGCCATGGGGCCAAGATGGGGGTGAGCAGTTCGGGAGGTTGATGGATAATGTTTGCGAAACGCTGGCAGTTGTCACAAGCTTTCACAAACTGCTTTGCATCCTGCTCGATACTGGGCCAATAGTACCCTTGTCGAACCACCTTTGCCGACAACGACCTGGCGCCAGAGTGGTTTCCACACACCCCTTCATGGACTTCCCTAAGAATGTAAAGGCCTTCTTCGGGAGTCAAACACTTGAGGAGAGGTAGGGAGAAGCCACATCGGTACAACATTCCTTCTCGGAGTGTGAACCGAGCTGCTCTTCGCGTCATCTTCTTTTGCTCCTTCGGATCTTGCGGTGGGTTTTCTTTGATGAACTCCAAGATTGGGTCCATCCAAGTGGGTGATGGAGTATCAACCTCCATTACATCTGGCTCCAAGATTGAAGGAGTGTCCAAGATCTCAACCGGGACCGATCTAGCCAGGTCGGTCTCATATGCTGATGCCAATTTGGCCAAGGCGTCAGCATTAAAGTTCTCAGATCTTAGAACTTGACTCACCTCGTCAGTCCCGAACTGGGCGAGCTGCGATCTGACCTTGCTTAGATATTTTTCCATTCGGGGGTCCTTCGCTTGGTACTCCTCCTTGATCTGATTTACAATTAGCTGGGAGTCACTAAAGACCTTAATGTGGTTGGCCCCCAGTCCTTTGGCAACGCGCAGGCCTGC